CTGCTCCTCTCATGAGCCCGCCTCTGCAGGAGACATCATGGAAATCACCAGTGTCCCTCCGTTGCCGTCGGCCTCAACCCTTGGTGACAAAGTGTCAGGGTTCAGCACGTTCTCAGTCCGGACAGTCACCTCCTCCATGACCACGGAGACCCATAATGCCACAGAAAGAACGGAGCCCAACTCGGCGGTCTCCTTGTCCACGACACTAAGCCCTGCAGCGACAAGTGCTGATAGAGTCAGAAGTACCCGTTCCTCTCTGGCCGTTTCGTCTCCCTCAGGGGCAGGGACAGCAGGCGGTATCCATACCCTCAGCGCTTCCTCCGAAGCCACAGGCAAGCTCACCATCCCCACAGCCGGGACTTCAGCTTCTGAATGGCCCAGTGATCCTAATTCTCTCAGCCTTGCCAGCGATTTTGGAATGTATACTACATTTTCTCCATCTATTCACTCCACCTCGTTGGAGACCAATATTCGTGCTTTTACTCCTGCAGATGTATCAAAGGGAAATTTGAATTCATCTGTTTCTCCTGAGACCTCTGCTTCTAGAATGAAGTCCACCTTGGCTTTCACTGCTGCCCCCACCCAAGACTTTTCCACCATGGACACACAGACTTCCCTTACACCTCTCTCATTCTCATCTCACCTAGTGAGTGAGCTCAGAGCCTCAAACAATGACTCAGTTACAGACTCAATCAACAGAGCTCTTCCAAAAACATCTCACCTCTTAAAGATTTTGGCTTTTGCTTCTACAGCAATGACATCACAAGCCAACATAGGCTCATTTAATTATTCCACTGCACCTAGAAATTCAACTGGGTCAGAGAATAGTACCAAGGCTGAGACAGCACCAACCACTGTGTCAGCCTCTGCCTCCTCTCTCTCTGCTACTATGGGCATCACCAGATCCACTTCCCCAACAACCAGATCCATGGAAGGAACTTCTTTCAGGGAACCAACAATAGCGACGTTCATGACAGAAACCATAAGTGACCTAGCCAGTGTTTTTTCTACTGTTTCCACTAATATAGCAAGCACGATGGGCTATGACAATGAAAGAAGGTTGAGAACCACGCAGTTGCCCACTGGAATCACAACTTCATCTGAGACATCTACAGATTTAACTTTGGCCAAGGAAAGTATCCCAATCTCAATATCTTCATCTCAGTCCATGGGTGCTCCTAGCTCAAGCACTCCAGCGGGGGAAAGCCAATTGGTTGGCACATTTTCTGATTCCCCATATCATTTGACCGCTGGAGAGATTACAGTTTCTGTAAGCCAACCTCTGACTTCACAAATGGTTGCCCCAGCTTCCTCTGAGGCAACCACTCCTGGAGGGCAAAATGGACTCAGTTCAGAATCATCAGTGACTGTGAGGAAGGTCGGACAAGTTTCCTCTTCTTCAGCCTCCTCTCTGTCCTCTGAGATGACTATTCCATCATTGACTTCCCCCACAATGGGGGAAACCATAGGCTCTACCTCATTCTTCCCTAATGTTCGGGAAATGTCAACTGAGAAAGTGTCAACTTTCTCTTTGGCCTCTGGACTGCTAGGCATAAGATCTCTTCCATCTCTCCCAGGGACCACATCGTCCATGGGTATTTGGGAAGATGCAGGGACAAGCTCAGCCACCTCATTGTCTAGTTCATCTTCTGAAGGAGAAATAAATTCCTCTATTCACTTATCCCCTGCTGTTAACAACAGTCCTGATTCTTTTGATCTGTCCACCCGAGCAGTGCCCAGGGCCTCTTCCTTAGACCCCACAACCTCAACTTGGATATCTTCAGAAGCATTTAGCGACATTCAGGCACAGACAAGTTACAAATCTCCTGAGGCTATTTCCTTCTTGGGAAGTCCAGGGGCAGAGCACACCATCCTGGGAGTGGAGACTGGACTGGCCAAAACCCTATCAGGAGAACTGACCTCTTCTGAGTCCAAGAGAGAGTCCCCCTGGACATCCACCTCTTCACTGTCAGAGGCCCCAATCAACAGAGGTGAGAATTCTTTGTCAGGGTATATTTATGTCCCTGATCTTGACAGCTTACCCCCATTCACGAGTAAGGACCTGCTGCTTCTGCCATCTTGGAAATAGATTTGTTTGTCTGTTTGTTTTAGTTGGTCATGGAAGATGGTGAGAAATCTTTTTTTCTTCTTCCCCCACAAGGTTTCTTTCTTGTTTTGGTTCAGGAGTCTTCATGCAGGGGAAATCCAATTGGCCATGGCAGCCATTACAGTCCCCTGTGTATGATTTCCTATTTCATTGTAGAAGTCACCTGCATGTATTCATAGTTATACGATTGCCCATCCATATCACGCTTTGTAGCCTTTCCTGATAAATATCACATTAAAATAACTTTTGCATTGTGGTAAATTATAGCCAACATAAAATTTGCCATTTAAACCATATTTAAATATATAATTCAGTGGCATTAAGTAAATTCACATTGTTGCACAATCATAACCACTATAAGAATTTTTTCATCATCCCAAACCAAAACTTTGTATCCATTAAACAACAACTTCTCATTTTTTCCTCCTCTAGCACCTAGAGTCACCATTCTTTCTGTCTCTATGAATTTGACTATTCTGGGTACCTCATATAAGTAGAATCACACAATACTTGCCCTTTTTTGTCTAGCTTATTTTACTTTGCATAATTTTTTCAAGGTTCATCTATGTTGTCATGATGTCAGAATTTTATTTTTTTAAGGCTGAATAATATCACATTTTAGGTATATACCACATTTTATTTATTCATACATAGACATTTGAGTTTTCTCTTTTATCTGTTGTGAATAATGCTGTTATGAACATTAGTGTACAAATATCTGTTTGAGTCCTTACTTTCAATTTTTTTGGGTATATTCCTAGAAGTGGAATTGCTACATGATATGGCAGAATATCATTGTTTTTATGTTTAGGTGTTGAAACTTTTCTCAGAGTCACCTATTCTCACCTAGATAGGAATCAATCCATCATGAATATGAGGCCCTAAACCTCCCTAGGTATCCATGATTAAAGACCCTTCTCAATAAGAATGGTGAAAACAGGAATATGTGGCTTCTGTGTCTGTCTCTTTTCCCTGAAATGACTGACCACATCACCTTAGTTATCTCATTTATAAAATGAACAGCTTCCCATCATCATCTAAAAGTCTTTCATGATAGTGTCCAGGATTTGCCCTTCACCATGTCCTATTAAAATATCTGAGATGAAGTCACCTGAGCAGCACATTGATGTCCATGACTTTTGATGCTGAGACTAATGAGATAAAAGGATCAATTACTGTCTTTTAATACTTTATTCTGCCATTCTTGCTATGGCACAATCCCTGTGCAAACTTTGAGTTCAAATCACCCAGAAACACATATCTTCCTGACTCTAGTCATTAAATAACACTTTCTTGTAAATAAGTGTCTTTGTTTCCAAAGTGTCCACATGTTAATTTTTCCTCTGTGTTTTCCTTCTAAACTGATCAGTATCCATCTCATCCATCTGTCTCTCCTACAGGCACTGCTGGGACTGTGGCATCCACTACTAATGTCCCCATATATGAAAGTTTCTCATGGCTGAGAAGTGACCGTTCGACACCTATGACAGCAGTTTACTCTACAGGTATGATGGCTGCAGCTCAAATTTGTCTCTCTAAGAACCTTGTCGTTTATTCTCTGATAAATTTGCCTTTTGCTAGAAATAGTCTGGAAGTTGGCTTTCTCCTAAAAATGTTGGTTTATCTGTTCTGTTTCTTCACTATGGACTTAAGTGTTTCTAAGACCACAAGAGACCATTTTGGGTTCAGGGGATTTTTATTAGTAGATGATTCTTGCTGAAAGAGGTCTGAAACTAACATAATAAAAATTGATTAGGAATGGTCGATGGTTCCTGAAATTATCCTAAATGAGAAGGAGCCACCATATTGGAGAATGTGATGCCATTAGAAAGTTAATTCTGTGTCCTGGAGCTTTTCCCAAAGGAAAGCTGTTCTCTCTTTTGAGGAAGAAGTGATGGAGGCCTAGAGACTGACCAATATTTTTATAACCTAATTTCCCTGCACTTAACTTCTTTTTAAAGTCCAAACATGAGTCTCTAAGATGGAAAAAAATAAGAGAAGAAAGAAATTAAACTATATTCTAATCCCTTAAAAATACTATTCAGTGGTCAAAGTTTTTAGATGGGGAAGATGTACCATGAATATTTGGTGTTAAGGCCAAGTATAAAGAAGGAACAGTGGACATAGAAAAGGAGGAACAGAATCTCTTCCCATTTTTGTCAAATTGAGATTTGTTAAATATTCTCTTAGAACAAACTCAGAGATCAATTTGATAAGCATAGAAACCTCCCTGTAACCATTAATACTTCCTAAAATCATGGGAACATTTTTTAGAATACGGAGGGTTGGGTGGGAGTACAATTGCAGATTAGATTTCCTCAGAAAAAGCAGGAATTGTCCTCTTCATTCATAGACAAGCAGGAACTCCAGTTCCACTGTTTCATATTTTCCAAACAACCAGATGATCCTGTCACAGACAGACCTGTACAACAGCATCCAAAAGATGACAAAGACCACTGATATATCCACTCCCCAAGGCTGGCAATTTCTCTTTTACGAATTTGAATATTCAATTCCCATTTCTCTTAGCTTTTAGTGTTTTTGCTGAAAACTCCAACGATAATCTAATGAGTTTTCCTTTATAGGTTACCATCTTCTTTTCCCTGGCTGCCTTGAGAATCCTTTCTTTGTCATTAATTTTGATAATTTTAATACAATGTATCTTGAAGAAGGCTTTTTTGGGTTGAGACAATTAGCTGTCCTGTTTGCTTCTTGGGTTCGAGGATCCTCTTCTTTCCATAGGTTTGGGAAGTTCTTGTCAACTGTTTGAATAGGCATTCTGTTCCCTTCTCCCTTTCTTCTTCTTCTGATATACCCATTATTACTATTATTATGAAATACCTTTCTGATGGTATCAGTTAGTTCTTGTAGAGCTCCTTCATTTTTTTTACTCTCAAGTTTCTCTCTTCTTTCATCTGCATCATTTCCAGATTTCTGTCTTTGATATCATTAATTCTTTCTTCCATCTGCTCAGCTCTATTTCCTAAGCTAGCTATTTCATTCTTCATCTTTTTTATTGAGTTCTTCAGCTTCAGATGTTTTATTTATTTATTTTTTGAGTTCCAGTCTCTTCAGTAAATTATTCGTATTGATTTTGTTGCTATGTTATTCATTGATTTTATTTCCTAGTTTATTGAACTGCCTGATTTTTCTTGCACCTTGTTGAGTTCTTTTCAGAATTGCAATCTTGAATTCTCTGTCACTTAACATATTTCTTTAAGTTTATTTTGTGGAAATTTTTATTTTCTATTTGAGCTTTCTTGTCACATTGGTTGTTCATGGTATTTGATGGATTATTTCTGTCAGGCATTTATGGAAATGCACTTTGCTTTTTAAAAAAATATTATTATTAAGAGTGAACTCTCTTTAAGCAGGTTAAGAAGAGTTCCCCCCGCCCCCCAGCAGCTGGCATATAAGCCTCCTACACTGCTTAGGCCTCTTGGATTTCTGCTGTGTGCCAATAAAATGTCCTTTATTATCTGCGGAGGTGTGACCAGGTCCCGTTGGCCTCAGAATTCTATCCTTGTGTGAGAATGTGATGGGTAATGGAGTTCTTAACATTCAAAGAGCCCCTGACATCCTGATGCTGCCCTAGTAGCCAGATGAAATGTTATGCTGTCTGAGGTACCCCAGTGCCTCCCCCCAATCAGCCTGGATGGGTGGGAGTGGGGTGGTAGAGGTCACTAGTACACCTGTGGCTATTTTCCTTCCAGTAATGCTGACCGCCAAGCTTCAGCTGCCTGGCCTCTGTATCTCTGCCCCTGTTACTGAAACCAGTTATAGTGTGTGTCTCAGTTCCTGGGGTTGCAGACTTTCTGCTCTGCAGCTTGACACTCACTGCTGCAGTTACCGTGGGTCCTGCTGCTAGCTCTGGGAGAGTGCTGGGAGATGAGTTCTGGGAGAGTGGGCAGGGGAGATGCAGCCAGATTCTGTGACCAATTTCTGCCTGGCAATGACGATTGCTAGAATACAGTAGTTGCATTTTTGTATTCTGGTTCTGCTCTGATCACTGGGTTCAATGTAGTATATGCTGATCACTCAGGCAGAAATGCTCGGGGCCACAGAGAGTACGCACCTCAACCTGATTCCTCTTCTCTCTCCAAGTCTCACAGGGAGCTCTGAACTTTGTCCACAGCACCAATCTCTTCTCTTTCTTTCCTCCTCCTTTGCTTGCCTGAGTCACCCACCTTTATATGCTCTGAAACACATATCTCTCAGACATGTTCGTGTGTTAGGATAGGTGTTTTTTACTGAATTGTAGCTGTTGAAGCATATGGTAACATGCTTCTGATGTCACTCCCTTCTAATATATTCTTCGTTTCAGTTATTGTGTTCTTCATTTCTGACTGATTCATTTTTATATTTTTTCTCTCCATTTTTATGTTTTTTTAAATCTTATTTTATTGAAGGTATATGTCATTGAATATACTTTCTAAAAAAACCCAAACCCTTTCTTATTACTTTCTGATACAGCAATTCAAAGGTATGTCCTAAGGAGAGTGCATTTCTTCTTTTTTCCTCTCCCCACTCCCCTGGCTTTGTTGAATTATAATAGACATTTAGTTGCTCATATTTACATTGTACAAGTCAATGAGTTTTTTCTTCAATTACAGTTGGCATATAATAATATATTTGTTTCAGTTATATAGCATAGTCATTAGAGATCTATAGAACTCACATAATGATCACCCCATTAAATCTAGTACCTCTCTTCCCCATTACATGTTTATTACAACATTATTAACTATTTTCTTTATGCTACACTTTATACCTCCATATCTATTTTATAACTATTCATTTGTACTTTTTAATCCCTTTTCCCTTTTTTGCCATTCTCCCAACCTCCTCAACTAGTAGCCCTCAAAATATTCTTTGTATCTATGAGTTTATTTCCATTGTTGTTGTTGTTGTTGATTTTGTTCTTTAAATTCCCCATGTACACGAAATCGTGGTATTTGTCTTTCTCTGTCTGACTTATTTCATTCTGTGTGTGCAATACCCTCTAGGTCCATCAAGACAATATCTTTTTCCATCCCTTTCTTTTAGTCTGTCTGTCTTTTAATCTGAAGCAAGTCTCTTGGAGGCAGCATATATAGAAGTCTTGTTTTCTTATCCATTTAGCCACTCTATCTGTTAGTTGGAGCATTTAATTCTTTTCCATTTAAGGTACTTGTTGATAGGAATGTAGTTATTATCATTCTTTATTCATGTTTTTGATACACATTTTTTCTTCTTAAAGAAGTCCCTCCAACATTTCCTGTAATTCTGGCTGGTGTTGATAAATTCTTTTAGCTTATTTTTGTCTGAGAATCTCTTTATCTGTCCTTTGACTCTCAATGATAGCTTTGCTGGATAAAGTATTCTTGGTTGTAGATCCTGGGTTTTCATTACGTTGAATATTTTGTGCTAAGCCCTTTTGACCTGCATAGTTTCTTTTGAGAAATCAGCTGCCAGTCTTATGGGTGCTCCTTTGTAGATAAGTAACTGCTTTTCTCTTGCTGCTTTTAAGAGTCTCTCTTTGTATTTAACCATTGGCATTTTAATTATGATGTGTCTTGGTGTGAGCCTCTTTTGGGTTCATCTTTTTAGGGACTCTCTGAGCTTCCTGGGGTTGTA